TGTTGAGGTCTTCATAATCCAGTCGACCACCAGGAGAAAAAGGAAGGGCGAGAGTAAACAGCCTTGTCTGACTCCGGTCCTTACTTGGAATGCATCTGTCAGCTGTCCTCCATGCACTACTTTGCACTGTAGTCCGTCGTATGAGTTCCGGATTATATTGACAATCTTCTCAGGAATTCCGTAGTGTCGAAGAAGTTTCCATAACGTCCTCCTGTCTACACTGTCGAATGCCTTTTCATAATCAATGAAGTTGATGTATAGTGATGAGTTCCACTCAACTGATTGTTCGACGATGATCCGTAGTGTTGCAATTTGGTCTGTGCACGACCGATCCTTACGGAATCCAGCTTGTTGATCTCGAAGTTGGGCGTCTACTGCATCCTTCATCCGGTTCAGCAACACTCTGTTGAAGACTTTCCCTGGTATTGACAGTAGTGTTATGCCTCTGTAGTTTTCACATTTGCTCAGATCTCCTTTCTTTGGAATCTTGACGAGGTGTCCTTCTTTCCAGTCCATCGGCACTTGTTCCTCCTCCCAAATCTTTTTGAATAGAAGATAAAGCATGCTTGTGGTTGTTTCGATGTCTGATTTCAGTGCTTCAGCTGGTATGTTGTCGGGTCCTGCTGCTTTCCCGTTCTTGACTTGTCTGACGGCCATTCTAATTTCTTCCGTAGTTGGTGGATTGAAATCTATAGGAAGATCTATGTGTGCTGCTTCGATATCCGGTGGATTAATTGGAGCCGGCCTATTCAGGAGTTCCTCGAAGTATTCTACCCATCTGTTACGCTGTTGTTGAATTTCGGTGATTGGCTTGCCTTCTTTGTCTTTGACCGGCCTCTCTGGTTTACTGTATTTCCCTGATAGTTTCTTCGTTGTATCGTAAAGCTGTTTCATATTTCCTTCTCTAGCAGCTTTTTCTGCCGTCGTTGCTAGTTCTTCCACGTATTTCTTCTTGTCGGCTCTAATGCTCCTCTTCACTTGTTTGTTTGCTTCTATGTATTCAGCTTGTGCTTGGACTTTCTCTGCTCGTGTTCGGCTGTTGTTAATTGCTGCCTTCTTGTTCTTCCTTTCTTTGATCTTGTCCAGTGTTTCTATAGAGATCCATTCCTTATGATGGTGCTTCTTTAGACCCGGAAACTCGTGACACGTTGAAGTTAATGCTTCTTTGATACTTTTCCAGTTGTCCTCCATAGTAGTTTCTTCTTCCTTCAGTAGATCCCGTAAGGCTTGGAACCTGTTGTTGAGAGCTATCTTGAATTCGTTGATTTTGTTAGTATCTCGAAGGAAGGCTGTATTGAACCTTCGTAGTGCTGTTTGTCCAGTTGTCCAATTCTTCTTTAGCTTCAGTTTTAAATTGGCCACAACTAGGTGGTGATCTGAAGCTATGTCAGCTCCTCTCCTGGTTCTCACATCTTCCATTGTCCTTCGGAATTTTTTATTGATGCAGATATGATCTATCTGGTTCTCTGTAGTGTGGTCCGGTGAGATCCATGTAGCTTTGTGTATACGTTTGTGTAGAAATATTGTGCCGTCTATGACCAATTTGTTGAATGCACACAGATTTGCAAATCTTTCTCCATTTTCGTTTCTCTCTACCAGTCATTCCATGTCGTCCCATAATATCTTCATATCCGGTGTTGTCTATTCCGACTTTGGCATTTAGATCTCCCATTAGAATGGTGAGGTTGTTTCTTGGGCACTTCTCTATGATTGATTGCAGCCGCTCATAGAATTGATCTTTAATACCGTCGTTGCTATCATTGGTGGGTGCATAACAGTGGATAATATTCATTGTGATCCCCTCCTTCTTTGTTTTGAATGATGCTTTGATGATTCTGGATCCGTGAGATTCCCATCCTACAAGTGCATTTCGTGCTACTTTGGACAGCATTAGAGCAACTCCCTGAGTGTGTAGAGCATTGTCCTCTTCGTGACCGGAGTATAGCAGCATCTCTCCCGTAGCTAGCCTTTTCTGTCCAGCTTGGGTCCAGTGGGTTTCGCTGATTCCCAGTACTGCTAAGTTGTATCTCCGCATTTCCATTGATATTTGACTGGTCTTCCCGGTTTCCCACATTGTTCGAACGTTCCATGTACCTATAAAAATTTTTGCTCTGGTTGTTAGAAGGGGCATCGGCCTCGTGGCTTCCGAAGGAACTCGGCTTTCACCATGAAGCGTCATAATTCTTCTAAATGAAGACCTTCTAACTCCCAGGGCAGAGTTAAAATGGTCTGGATTATTTTTTCTGGTAAGCGTTTTTTTAGCGAGTTAGTTTTCTACGGGATGGGGACGCTAACCCCATGCCCAACCCTCCTCCTTTACCCGGGCTTGGGACCGGCAGCAACCCTATAAGAGCTACAGGCGGAGTTACTATAAAATTTGGAGAAAAAATGATTCAATGACATTTTAAGTTGGCTTATTGTACTTTTACACAATCAGTTTTATACATTTCAATGGTTGTGTGATGTGTGCTACTGATGTCGACAAATATGTAGTGACTCACGCTTATCACGAGAACACGACTGGTTTAATAAAAACAATTATTATTATAACCAACTGTACCAGTGTTTGTTTTAACGTGCTTTTGTTTGACTGTGCTAATGACAGCTATTTTGTGCTTCCATTCTTTCGCTTACACTTCGATTGTAACTTCGCGCGAATTCGGTTACCTTTTGTAACCAAGGTTGTATCCTGGCACGATCTCGGTATCCTTTCGATGCCACGAGATCGCCAGCTAATAAACCTCGACTTGGTCCATTAACTGTCTTCTGATATTTGGCTTCTCGGGGATTTTATGGATCTATTTGGTTACGTCCAACCCTCGCCTTCTAATTTATCTGGCACGTGTTTCTTGGTAGCGGTGTTCACAGTTAATCTCAACTCGACGCCACGCTACAATTGGGAATCCCAATTCTAATACAATTGGTAATCCCAATTCGACTACAATTGGTGATCCCAAAGTTTGGAACACGCCGCAATTGCGGCGTTAACCTCGGGTCAAATCTTCCAAAGAAGTCAATTTGGTGAGTCTATGATTTATCTATCCACGTCTGTCGTATATTTTCATATTTTTAATATATAATATACGCGACATGACGGATAACGATAAGAATAGTATTAATGTAATAGACTCACACGTATGTGTACCGAATACTTGTCACTTTTTATTCGCGTGATGATGAATTCCACGCTTTATTCGAGAAATGTTACCCTATTAACGATTCTCCTCGCTGACCCGGCTGCTTGGTACGGAATGCATACGCATAAGCATATCCGTCTACCACCCAGCACCAAATGGTTAAGTTGAACGGTTTCACTGCCAACTTAAAAGTGTTCTACGAGCACACGAAAACGGCAACTGGCACGAAACCTTACCCCTCGTTCTTTTAGGGGTGAGAACGAGCTTAAAGGCAGATATCCAATGTTCCGCCACTGAACTTGTATACGGCACGACATTGCGTCTGCCCGGAGAATTCTTCACACCACGGAGCAGACCTAATTTCGGTAAATCAGACTACGTCCATCGACTGTCTGCATTTATGCGAACGCTGTCTCCGGTGTCAACTCGAATACAACATCGACAGGTCGCTCTCCCTCGAGAGTTATCTACTTGTTCACATGTTTTTGTACGAGTAGATTCGGTACGCAAACCTTTGCAACAACCTTACGAAGGCCCTTTTCGCGTGATCGCGCGTCACGAAAAGACCTTCAAGGTTGATCGACACGGCCGCGTCGAAATCGTCAGCATTGATCGTCTCAAACCAGCACACGTCGATGACAGTGCCCTATCTGAGAACCTGAGATTCAATGCTAGACCTAGCAAACCTACTAGCGGGATCCTCAAATCATCTACAGGTCCCACGCTAGATACATCTGAGACCTCATTCTCACGTCCCAGTCAACAGCACGCGTCATCTGCACCGTCTACGGACGAGACGACAGTCTCACGCCCAGATCAGCAGACCACGCCGCCCTTGACTTCGGATGAGATTGCAGGCTCACGCGACGCGAACGAGACTGCCGTCTCACGTTCCGGTCGCCGAGTACGGTTACCCGTACGCCTCCGCGACTAGTCGCACAGTCAACAACTGATACGGTGTAGGATTATTCCTATACTACACGTATGCTACACTCTTCTTTTTTTGATTTTCCTTTTGTTTCCTGAGCCCACGCCTTCGACCATCTCCGTTTGGTTCCGTCGACTTCAGTCAACTTTGGCGAAAGCTGGATTGGCCACCCACGCTCTTGTCAACGTACTCAGTCGATATATTGGTTTCGAATGCTTGGCATACACTTGGTCGTTATGGTCGCTTCTGGTCTTTTGGCTCAACGTGGTTTCGTCCTTCGTCTGCAGCGTTTATGGTCCGGACCCGTACGAACGCCCTCTTCAGATTCTGGATACAAACCACTCTCGTGTAGCATGCCAACTCAAGCAATACATACAGCACATCGCTCCTGGTACTGTTCTCCGAAAACGACCTTCGTTGGCAACTCGACGATCAACGATCGCTTTCCTGTTCGCCAATTCTTCCGTCCTACAATCGCTCGTCAGCCGATCAGTCCCACGATTCAAACCGCTATTTATCGAAAGTGTAAACCCTTTCTAGCGGGGGGCTCCTGTAGTGACTCACGTTTATCACGAGAACACGACTGGTTTAATAAAAACAATTATTATTATAACCAACTGTACCAGTGTTTGTTTTAACGTGCTTTTGTTTGACTGTGCTAATGACAGCTATTTTGTGCTTCCATTCTTTCGCTTACACTTCGATTGTAACTTCGCGCGAATTCGGTTACCTTTTGTAACCAAGGTTGTATCCTGGCACGATCTCGGTGTCCTTTCGATGCCACGAGATCGCCAGCTAATAAACCTCGACTTGGTCCATTAACTGTCTTCTGATATTTGGCTTCTCGGGGATTTTATGGATCTATTTGGTTACGTCCAACCCTCGCCTTCTGATTTATCTGGCACGTGTTTCCTGGTAGCGGTGTTCATAGTTAATCTCAACTCGACGCCACGCTACAAATATAAATAGTATGTATTGTCAATCGAAAGTGAAATGCCTGGAGGCGTAAGGTTATTTATTTATTTAAACAAATAAACATTGGTACAAGGGGGCACCAAATAAATATACGCCACATAAATCATTCGATTTGTGTGAGGGTTGGAATATTGCCCTGCCGTCAAAACCGAAGTAGGTTGTTTCCTTAGGGGACCATAACCTGAGCCTTTAACCTAAAAGTCCGTTCCAGAAGCCAGTGAAGCAACGTAAGGAGGTGCAGTCCCATGGTAACCGGTGACCAACGATTGGTTCATACTCTATTTGTTCCTTCAGGATACTGGCGTCCATGTACACCACTGATTTAGAACCAGGGTTTTCCAGCTCACCTAGTGGACTCTCCGTTTCTACCAACCCGATTAAAGGGCCGGATATTCGCTTTTCATCCTCTCAATTCGGTAAACAACAGTAATGCCGAGAGAATGCGGAGATTAGGCTACCCCTGGCACTGGTTGTACGCACGAGGCCATGTGAGAGCGTTTCAAGAAGGAAAGCTGGCTCTCCCCACTCTCAGCCGTATCGTGGTATTTGGGAGATTTAAACTGTGTTTCGTCTGGAGTCAAACACCGGGTCGCCTGGATGAGAGTCAGGAATCCTAACCGCAGAAGGTGAAGATCGAGGAAAAGAGAATGAGAACAGTGAATTATTGGTGTGGAAATGAAGGAACAATAAATTCTGAAACATTTGATTGACATTTTGTATATGAAGTATTTATTGTATGATTCTCAGATTTGACTAAAACATTCTGTAATTTCATGTTCGAATACATTCGGTTCTTCTCACGTGTGTTCTCATTCATTACAGTTGAAGAAATAGAAGAGATTACTTAAATAGATAAACATTTCTTAAACAAATTCTTAATTGAAATTTATTGAATAAAATTTATTAGTATAGGGTTGTGAAGATTATTTAGTTTTTGATTGAGATCATGAACTGATTGATGTTAGATCACCACTGAAAACTTGGAAGCACTGGATGGCCGTTTCGTCCGCTTGTAGAAACACCAGCAGTGCGCATCCATGATCCCGCTAGCGGGATCCCAACTCAAGGCCTTCGTTCTCGCACGCGAACGCTCAATCTTTAGACCACTAAACTGGCATACAGAGGTGTTAATGTCTAACATTAACCAATCCATGAAATTGTGCGACCATCTCCCATTGCACTGAGGTAGATACCTGTTTCTACCCTAGACGGATGAGCTCCAATAGCCATGGCTTCCCAATAAAACTCCGAGAATTCCCTCACGAAGCTAGTCACTAGTGAGCACATGGTAATTATCAGTATATGATTGTGGAGATTATTAATGTTTTGATTGAGTCGGTTAGAGACATGTATCTACCTCAGTACAATGGAAAATGGTCGCGCAATTTTGTGGATTGTTTTAAGTTAGACATTAACACCTTTGTATGCCAGTTTAGTGGTTTAGAAATTAAGCGATATCTTAAATACTCACTGCTGAGGAGTCTTGCGTATTAGGACAAAATGATCGTCCAGTACTTCCAGATTTTCAATAGTAGTCTAACATTGATCTTACTCATAATATCAAATTAAAGATTTATTTATAAAGCAAGTACTATCTTCAATACTAATGTGCATCTATAATAAATACACATAATCATTTTCAGCTAGAATTAATCATGACTTGAATACCACCTAGTATGAATGTTTCATACTAAAGATTAATTTTTTTTGTCTATGTGTACTGGATAAACCTTGATAGTACCATATTTGATAAGCGTGATTCGTATTAATCACATGTAATAATCATTAAAAGCGTAAATACAATTTAGGAAGCTTACTATATATCGTATGTATATTTTGAATGGATATACTGAATTCATATTATACGGTTAGTTAATATGATTAAAAGTGTTTGTTCTGTAAAATAAGTCTTATCAACATTACATAACTTTTCATAAGCTAAATTGAACTGTTAAAGTTAAACGATCCTTAATAACAATCTTGTTATGGTCCAAAGCCACCAATCAGAAGCAGTGAATTGTCGGTCGGACCAAGGACGCGAGCAGGCTAGAGTTCAGATTGCCCCTGGCTTCCGCCTAACCCAGCCAGTTCAATCGAGAACACCGATCTTAGCCTCTGTAATATGAATCATTTTATTTCAAGCATACTGGGTTTATATACCAACCAGACAGACCACAACGTACCATAAAATAGAAAATAACATTTATACAAGATCTAGCCAAATGCGGCTGTGAATGTGGGAGGTAGTAATTAATAGACAAGGCATAATTCAAGAATGGTAAATCGTATAATAATAGTTTGTAGGTCAAAATAAACCTCATAATAAGAGGAACACAAATATGAATAGTTTAGTTACTTAGCAATTATACGATAAAAATATACGCATATTATTGGTCTATAAATGGATCCCAAAAGTTATCATTCAATATTTTTATCGGGATATAACAATTTTTAAAACAAGTTTTTTTTTCTATGTTCTATCCACCTAAACCCGGTTATCTTTGAATACGATATTTGTCTATTAAATTACGGTTTATTGGAATTCTGATTCAATCGGAAGTTAGTTTACATCATTGGATAAGTATGGGGAAAAAACGAGACAACTATTTCATCTTAAGTTGTAGTCTTACGTTTGTGTTCACTTCACTCAAAAAATCTATTCGGTGTTGTGAACTTAAGACCTTTTTTTAATTTTCAGTTAACTGATTTGACAGGAACTTGATTACGAGTGTGATGAGGGGCAATGACGCTATCCGGCTACCTAGATCAAAGTAGATGTGGCCAGGTTTGAACCTGTGATATGATGCTTGAAAGTCGAACATGTTAACTACCAGGCCACTGCTTTTGTACATTAAACAAAAAAAGATTAATGTTAACTTTTTTAGATCACATTTATTAATTGAAACTATTTTCTTTAAAATTGGTTAGTTATTTTTATTAACAGTTTTTATTATTATAAATCTTTTTAATGGCTGTTACATCAACACCTTACACTGTCAGTTATTGCCCCCAAATGCCCTAGTATGGCCGAGGGTGGGGAAAGTCAGCTCTTCCTCTCGAAATGCTCACACATGGCCTCGTGCATGCAACCACTGACAGGGAAGTCCTACTCACTGCATTCTCGGGGCATCACTGTTGTTTACAAAATTCAGAGGAAAAAAAGCGAATGTCCGGTGATTTAACCGGACTGGTGGACATGCAGAATCCACCTAGGGTAATTGGAAAACCCTGATTCCAAATTAATGGTACACATGTGCTTCAGGATCCTGAGGAAACAAATGGAGTATGAACCAATCGTCGGTCACCACCCACCATGAGGTTGCATCTCCTTAGGTTGCTCCACTGCCTTGTGGATCAGACCTTTATGTCGAAGGCCCCGCGTGTAGCTCCCTAAGAGACCACCTGCTTCGGTTTGGGCACCTGGGCGGTATCCCAGCACTCACACAAATCGAATGATTTATGTGGCACATATGTATTCGGTGCCTCCTTGCACCGATGGCTGTGTTCAAATAAATAAATCTGTCAGGCATTATGATCTGAAAACGTATTATTTAAATCTACTTACTAATCATGCACTGCTATTGAAGATCTTAAGTGACATGATTCATTGTGTCGTAGGAGCATCTTTTCTTTTTACCCCTGTAGATTTAAAGAGCTTTACTTTTCATAAATATATTTCTCTGTTTCATTCGCTGTTTTACTTCCGAACATTAAATTTCTTGATTTTCTGAAAGAGTTTTAGTAATTTCGAGTATAATCTTAATCAGAATTGTCCAACTTATTCCCTCCCCTCCGATTTTCAACAATTATCTAGCTGTCCTCAATTCGTAATGGGAATTATCTTGGGAGTAGTTACATCGGAGAATATTATTTCTTCATTGTTAACTTGATCCCTGGCTGATACTACAGACTATTTTTGGTGCACTAACACTTTCTGACATCGCAAAGTGTTTTATTAAAAAATCTCCCTCCACTTTTTTGTGCTTAACCATAGGTTTGGGATTTAACAACAGCATTGAATCTTTCAAGAACTGGTTCCGGTTTACCTGGTCCTATAATGACTATTCCGAATTCATCAACAATAAATACAGATGGAACATACAATTTTTCGCACGGTATAGTTTTTCAATATTTTATTTGGATTTTTTATTTCTCTTCCTTTCGATTTTGTTGGAAATAATTCAAAGTGTTTGCATTAATAATAGTTCTGTTTGTATGAACAAGTAACTTATTTTGTAGGTTATATTTACCATAGATTGATCTAAATTGGGAGTACCACTAAAAACCAGAAAGCTCTGAACAGCTCTTTCATCTTTGTATAAAAGTCTTTCGAATTTCGCACCCATGAACCCAACGAGGTCGAATCCAGGACCTTTAGTTTTCGTGTCATGCAATCTCTGAGTAGTACGGTTAGCTTACTGAGTATGATTGTCTTGTTTTAAGTGACTTTATCAGTGCTTATTGCAAATATAAGTAGGCTTTTCTAAATTATTTCACAAGCACTAAGTACGTTATTCTAGTGATCTTGTTTATGATAGGTTGTTTTCACAGGATTTATCTTCATACGCTTTTAGTTTTTCATCGGCTCTTCATTTTATTTTCGGTCTGGATTTGTCGAGATTGCTGAGTTTTAATTGGGATCATGAATCGCTCAATATTAGACGACCATTGAAAACCTGAAAGCACTAAACGACAGTTCCGTTCTAGTATGGAACTCTTCAGAAGTACTTGTCTACGGTTCCGCGCACGAGATTATAACCCAGGACCTTCGATCTCGCTCAAGATCGCTTAACCTTTAAACTACTGATCCGACATTCAACAGTATTAATGCCTAACTTTACCAATCCACGATGTCACGCGACCATCTTTCGTTGTCTTCAATGGGTAATTGCTTGATCACTGATCACGACTTCTCACCAGAACTCCGAGAATTCTCTCTCGATTCTAACCACTAGTGAACACATGATAAATTTCAGTTTGGGGTTGTAGAGATTGTTGAATTTCATTGAAATCATAAACCGATCTGTGTGATATATATATGGCGTACCATAAATTGTTTTGCTAATAGTTCTTTTTGGTCTTTATGCAATGGATTTTTTAGTCAAAACTGACTGGATCAAATCCAGTGATAACAGATCAGAAAACATTTTCTCTCTTTACTTTAGAAATCACATCTTATCCTAATGGGATAATTAATAATATGAATTCTTATGGAGGGAACACTATGCTTATGATTGGTGCCAATTCTAATGGATTGCTAAATAATTCAAACAATGTTCAAATTTATCCTAATCATATTTATTATAATAATCAATGTTTATATGGTACAGATTATTATCATAGTTGTTTTATTGGTGGACCGACATCATCGGAATTATTAAGATTATTAGAAAATTGTCAGCTTGGTTTCTCATCTGGTGCATCCAGTATGACAGCTTTATGCTCAGAACGTTTAACACCGGCAGATTCATTAAATTCAATTATTCACCATTCAGGTTTGTGATATTGATTTGGGAAATTTTTCATTTCTCGCCCTCCTCCTCCTCCTCCTCCTCATCATCATCATCATCATCATAAGGAGATTGTTTCCGAACTATTTATATACCATCATCTTATTGACTTTTTGATTAAATCATCGAAAACTTTATTTTTAATATTATGTAACAATCATATCAAATATATGATTTAGAAAATCTCTTTATTATCTAACTAACTATTACATTGTTCTGTTTGCACAATTTAGGAAACATTATTAATTAGACACAAACTACCAGTTTTGTACTCACTGTATCTTGTCGACCGGTTTATTCTTTATTTTATTTGATTTATTCATTTAATGAATCGAACTGAAAGAAGGGTTACTGTTACTCTCTCCCTCACTCTCTCTTTCTCCTCCATATAGCATAATCATTGCACTATCAATCAACATCATTAGATCCTTTTCTTTCTATCAGTTTCATTCATTTAATTCTGTACTCATTTGGTTATTCTTATTATTATTATTTTCTCTTTTTTTCTTCATTCCTTGAAATAGTCTTCAGCATTAATTGGATAGTTTCTTACAGTAACAAAGATTAAGTAATACTTATTGTAATGAATAGTGTTATTCATTGTTATGTATGTATTGATTTATATGGTTTGTTAAAAGAAACACTATTCACTTATTATTTCCTGTTTATATATAGTGACAGGGATTACTATTATTATTATTAGTGTATTGTTTAATCCTTTTTTAAGTTATGTAATGAAGATTATATTCTTTACATGATTGACCGATTGATTGTTATTTGTTAACTGATTGAGTGAATGTTAAATTTACTTCTTGTTTTCTGTTGAAATTTCAAATAGTAAATAATTAGTTTTTAATAGTTGAATTCATGAGTCAATTGAAGCTAGACCACCATTGAAAATCTGGAAGCATTGGACGACTGTTTCGCCCTATTATGGGACTCTTCAGCAGTGCGCATTCACGATCCCGCCTCCCGTGAGATTCGAACCCAGGACCTATTAGTCCACGTAAGCGAGCGCAATGCTGAGGAGTCCCATACTAGGATCAAACGGCTATCCATTGCTTTCAGGTTTTCTATGGTGGTCTAGCTTCAATGGACTCATGAATTCAGATATTAAAAATTACTATAATATCCACAAAAATTCCTCTCTGACAATAATTCATTCTTACAATTTATGAATATTTAGTGTTGTTGAAAGTAAAATTTTCATGTCATTTCATGAATAGTACGTGATATTTTGTTGTTGAGATTACTGAGTATTTTTTCTTCTCCATCTTCAAGTACTTTATTTATTTAATAAAATTATTTGATTATCATTTTACTTATATTGTCTCGTTATGTGTTCTAGAAATTAGTTGATAATATTATTCGATATCCCTCGAAAAGAGTAAATAACGTGGTGTGATTTAGCATTAAATGATAAATCGGTTTACTCCATCTGAGTTTTTGTTCACTACATATAGTATCGCTCCCAAAGGGGAGGTTGAGAGGGTGCAGTTCTGTGGTCGACGTTGCAGGGCTGGGAGAAGAAGCGCTAGTTAGTGCAGTCGTATGCAGAAAGGAGACGTCGAGTTCAGTGCTCTGTCGGGGCGAAGTTGGGTGTAGCAGTCGCTGTTGACGGGAAGACGACGCGGGACGTTCCGGGTGATGGGTGGATGTTGGACAAGGCGTTAGACGTCCTAAGGGCTTAGTGGACATCGGGTATAGATTACTCGGCAGGTCGACTGAGCTACGAATGTTAGCGAGCCAACGGGTTCGATATTTTGATGGAGAGTATGGCACAGACTGCGACAAAGAGGAAATTGACACGACTATCAGAACAAGTGCAGGGGCAACCGTTTAAAGAGGGTTGAGTTTGGTGTATGCTACTAATGCTGTCAGATATAAGTAGTATGTAGAAGCAACCGGAAGTGGAATGCCTGCTAGGCGAAGATTGAAATGAAGAGAACGGGAAGGAAATCGGAGAGCAATCGAAGTAACAGCAGAATTAGAGGAACTGCGCAGTATGTAAAGAATTACACAAGGAAGCTGTGCAAATGATGCGTTTAACTTATAATTGGTGAGACTATAATTTATGGACGAACCAATCAGATTTGAGGTAAGAAGTCTTAGATTTTGGCACGAAAGTCATCCATTTATTTGGCTAAATAGAATTTTGGCAGTATAGCTGACGACAGTTGTTCTTGGCAAAAACCCTAAATTTAATTCCTAACTCTAAAGTACAGCTGTAAACCCTGATGCTAATTCTTCACACTTATTTATAACACAGTAAGTGGACATTATCAAGGTCAATGTAGCGTCACTCAAAGGGCGTCCACAAATTATAATCTCATCGTATGATTTTCATATTTTACCAAACCACTGTATGATTTTGCATTGAACAATAAATTGGTTTTCCCCACATGAGTTTTCGATCACTACAGTACCATTAAAAAGTTTTTGCGGTAATATTTATTGATTTAATCATATTTTCAGGGCTATTACAACACCATTGAACTCATAATTTCGAATAAAATAGTCTATAAGTTTGGATGATCGCTAGAAGTGAAAATTGGGATGTGCGTTCCGTCCTATTTAGGACTTGCACACTTGATCTTTTAGCATCCCAGATTTGGTTTTGGACTTGAAACTCTGTTTGTGGCAAATATAAATACTTAATGAACACTTTCTGTATAGTTATTTGAGAAATTCAGAAAAAAGACAACTGGTTAACCTGTCATGCATTAAATATAGGTTGTAACGATAAATAAAACTGAAGGAAATCATTAAATCCTTTTGTTTCTTTGTTTCTATCACCGAATATTTTTTTAATATTATTATCCTTAGCTTTATTCAATATTATAATTTTGGTACAATATAGAATTCTCAGCACAAAGTATTTCAACAAGTTTCCGTTTCTTTCTTCTTAGTCGGTCCTGTCGATAAATATTGAGTGATTGCCAGTTAGATGTTAGCAGTTCAGTAAATGAACATCTGAATAATGTGCATTGTTTTCGTTGTATATTGCCAGCAACCACATTGTCTCTTATTGAGTTTTTTGTAACTTTGACAACGAAAGGTTGTACAGTTTTCAGAAACGCAGCAGAATAGTTTATGCGATAAATAAACATAATGATATATTAAAACGAACAAAAATAGATAACTTGTTGAAATATCTGGATGGCAGGAACAGGTTGCCAGATGCTCAAGCAGACCGCCCTTTATAGTCTTTTGTTATCTAGAATGTCAAAATTAAATGTTTTAGTACCATTATTAATTTTCAAAATCGGTGAGACCATAATTTATGAACGACCTCTGAGTGACACTAGACTGACCTCGAGAGTGTCCATCTAATAACCAAGATCAAATGAGGGTTGTAAATCTGTGTGAGGAATCGGAATTATGGTTTACAGTTGATAATTAAAGTTAGCAATTAGATATAGGGTTTTCATCACTAACTGACATCAGCTTTAATGTCAAAACTATATTTATCCGAATGAATGAGTGAATTTCGCGCCAAAATCCGAGACCTGTTATCTTATACGTGATTTGTTCGTCCATAAATTATAGTCTCGCCTCAAAATCTTTAGTCGCTTACTAGTAATGCTTCGTAAAAATGTTTACCTTGCACAATCATACCACAAAATATGTAAGACTCGTTACATACTCAGTTCTTTTCAGTCAACCCAACGTCACAAAAAATCAGACAAAGATTAAAATAAACTTTCATCATATGTACATTAATCACATTTGTCAGACCTACAACACCACCATTCACAAAATAATTCCAACACATAATCGAGTCGGCTTCTTTCAAAAGCACATTATAAAGAGTTCATAACAAATGAATGAATCTAATTCTGTTTGAGAATACTACTGACTGAATCTGAAGATTTTAAGTAACAAAACTAAAATATATTCGATATCAGAAAGGGTTTTGTGGATATTATAGTAATTTTCATAGTCGAGATCATGAGTCATTCGAAGCTAGATCATCATGGAAAATCTGGAAGCACTGTACAGCCGTTTCAATCGAGTAAAGGACTCCTCAGCAGTGCACATCCACGATCTCACGTCGAGAGATTCGAACCCAGGACCTATCAATCTACCTCGCGAACGATTAACCACGGAATTACTAAAATTATTATAATATCCACAAAATCCCTTCTAATATTAATCAACACATGCTCACTAGTGACGGTCTACAAGAGGTATTTCCTGGAGTTCCAGTCAGAAGCAGTGAACAGTGGAGTTCAACCGGGTCTGTTGTGAGATAATAACTCACTGAAGTCAATCGTGGATGTGTCTCTTAATTTCGTGAATTAGTTGAAGTTAGACATTAACAGAGTTGGATGCCGGCCGGCTCAGTGGTCTAGAGGTTAAACGTTCGCGCGCGAGAATAGTAGGTCTCGAGTTCGAATCTCGCGGGGTGCGGGATCGTGGATGCGCACTGCTGAGGAGTCCCACAATAAGACGAAACGAATATTCAGTGCTTCAAGGTTTTCCATGACGGTCTAGCTACAATTAAATCATGATCTCAACCATAAGAATTAAAATATATTCAATGTTCCTAAATTACAGTCGTTTCAATATACCAACAAATTTATCATGAGAGTGATTCGTGTTTCTTAATGTTTTGTTTGAGAATTTAGTTTTTTTCATCTTACCATTATTAGTGAATTCCGTTAAATACATTGGTGAAACTAAGACAGTTCGTCTAACGTTTTAATGTGAGTTTGTTGAGAAAATGATTATTAATTGTGTTAAGTAGGAATCAAATTTCAAGTTGAAGAAAATTGGTTTGTTTGGAAAACTTCAAATAAAGATTCACATTATAATTACCATTAAAAATAGGATACATCCTCTCCACTGTAATACTATGGTATCAACTTAAATGAGCTTTGAACATGAATACAGCATCATGATGTAGAGTGGATTCCAATATCTGGAATATTTATTAAATGTATTCGAGGAATTATTAACATTATTTAAGAATGTGATATTCATTATGAATAGAAATCAGTAGATAGTACTGTAAGAATTTAATAAGCACTGAAAATTTGCTACTTCCTAGCATAAAGCTCTTTACCATTAGAGACTCATGAATCCATCAGAATCTAGGGAAAATCAAGTTTCTGAAGGAGCATTACAC